TTCTTGTTCCTAGTAGTAAGGCCAGGAGCCCCTAGTAGCTTCTGGCCTGGAGCCCCTAGTAGCTTCTGGCCAGCAGCTCCTAGTAGCTTCTTGTTCCTAGTAGTAAGGCCAGGAGCCCCTAGTAGCTTCTTGGAGCCCCTAGTAGCTTCTTGTTGCTAGTAGTAGGGCCAGGAGCCCCTAGAAGCTTCTTGTTCCTAGTAGTATGGCCAGGAGCCCCGTTCGTCACGTTTGATCGCTCCTAGTAGCGATGCCCTTTGTTCCTAGTAGCTTCTGGTTACTGGTAGTAATGCCCTTGTTACTAGTAGCTTTTCTATGAGGACATCCTCTGGTTTTCATCCTGAGATCCGAATAGCACTAGGAACTGAACTAGTAGCTCGCTACGAACGGAACATGGACGGGCATCGCTACGAACGGAGCGATGGGACGCTACGAACGGGGCGCTCCTGGCCTTACTACTAGGAACAAGGACGCTACTAGGAACAAAGGGCATCGCTACTAGAGTTGGCCATGTTGCAGATGTCTTGATCACTCGCAAGTTTAAATCAAACAAGGTAAACTACAGCACCTTCAAAGCCCCGCGTGCCTTCTCGCTCCTAAACACTCCATTTTCGCTGCAGGGGTGAATGACTAAGGGGTGATTGGTCAAGAAAATGTTCCATACATGGAGTGTCTAGTGCTGATCAACCTCGGGTTTCTTGTACCTCTGGTTTGCAACATGGATCCCTCAGGGAATTTGGTGTGCTGGGTTCCCAAGTGTTCCAAACAAAGCATGGCACCAACAGGATTCTCCAAGACCAATTCACCAGGCCTGAAGAGCTACAAGCTCCTTTTTTCATTCTGCTGCGGGTCAAACGAGTCTATATAAACTTTGTCTAAACGAAATCAGTACCCTCCAAAAACCAAGTCTAAACTTCAAACATGAGTCCAATCTATCATTATCTACCACCGGTCTTTATAGTTGAGAGTTGATGGGCCTGGCCACAGGGTGCTCACCGGTGACCTGTTGGAGGGGCCTTATCGGGTGCTGGGGGCTGGAATTCGAACCGTGCTTCCAATCCATTTTTCCGAATTCGGTTGGCTTCGTTCCAAACACCCAATTTAACCGCTTCGTTCGACCCCGGTTCGGCCGCCAGGCCCCATCTGCGTGCCCGGCCGCATGGTTGCCTGCGTGGAGTGAAGAGGAGTGTTGGAGCCAAGGAATCACAACAAACAAAAAAGCCAGCCAAAAGGGAAACAGCTTGATTGAACTAGTCAATGCTTTAAACTTTAGACAAACCTGATCAAAGTCTTAGCTGCCTTAGTGCTGTGGGTGTTTGTGGCATGTGTTCCAAAAACCAGTCGAATGACCATCTGAACAGGAAGCCTACCATGACAACAGAGCTTGCAAAGCAAGCACACTGATTTCAGAGTAGATGACAAAGCTCCGAGGTCACAGGCCCTGTTTAGATATAACATTAGATGAGGATCTATTTCAACTACAGTTGTTGTACCAACTGGATTGTGCACGTTCGGCAACAGTCAATTCACATCAGGTACAAGAACATATACACTATTCCAAAACTGACATGTCCTATCTAGGTAGAGAAAGCTCCCAATCCGAACCATCCCTCATGACCTGGGGACCTGATCCTTGACAGCTTCCAACATCTTCCAAGATTCCTTTTAAGACAGGCTCCACCCTCATATCTCGCATGGAGGAAATCCCTCCACTAACTGTGGCCTACTAGTAGCGATGCACTTGTCTATATAGTAGATTATAGTAGTTTCTTGCTACTAGTAGTAATGCCCTTGTTACTAGTAGCAATGCACCTTGTTACTAGCAAGAAGCTACTAGTGAATCCTCCCATCTCAGCGTTGTCATCCCTGGGGCGCACCGGGACTCCGAGGCCCGACGTCATCCCTGGGGCGGCCCTGCGACGGAGGCGACGGCAGTCCGAAGCAGATCGTCCCGTTGATTGAGATGAAAAGAAAATGGATTCTGTCGCAAGCTTGCTTTCTGTGGGGACTCTGAGATGAAAGCAATCTAAAGCCAATGGGTCGTGGCAAGATCCATGGCTGACGATTGATGAAGCGCTTGGAGCTCCTGATGGCAAAGACCATCAATGCTCCCACCCGGGGGACTCAGAAGAAGGCGGCCGT